GCGATACGATATGAATGCGACATCGGCATGCTGAGTACGTGGGAATTGGTGGGAAGCGATGAAAACTGTGCACACTTGCACGACAGCGACACCGCTGCGATATAATATCGCTATCGATATAATATTGCATGCGTATCGCACGTGCGATACGGCTTTCTGATCGAGGTGAGATTAGTATTGAGCGGCATTTTTCGCAATAAGCATGATCGTTTCACAGGCGGAATCATCATCCTGGATTTTTTTTTGTCGAATTAATAAAAAAAACATGTTTATGGAACTAAAAAATACTGTAGAACAGACATGACTAGTTTGGCATGGAGAAATATAGCGTCTGAGGTAAAGGACACAGGTAAATGCACAAAAGAATATTTTTCGTGATGGTTTATTTGCCTTTGTTTTCACATCTTTAAAAAGAAATTTAAAGAATCCAATAAATTTAATTTTAATTTTTAATTTGATTTTGAATAGCAAAAAAGATTTGGTGGTTGTTTAAATGTTAGTGATTAACTATTTTGTTTCAAATATTCAAATAAATAGTAATCAATGTACTTAGAAACAATTAAAAAATAATCATCTCATTTACCATTAAAAGAATAAATCAGATATAATAACAAATACTAAAAAATTATGTATGTATGTTCTTTAGGTAATTATTTTTTATTATTCGTTATATATTTATATGTTTTTTTCTTGAGTGTTATTTTATTATCACTTTTAGAAAACTTAACGAGATCTGTGTGTATTTTCCATGTAAATTTTTTTCGTCTTTTTTTCAAATTTGGCAGTTTTCACGCACTATTTTATAAAGCAACTATACTACTCCTGAATTGATGCAAAATTAACATTTAATATATAGTGATTTTTACCTAAAAAATCGGGGGAAAGTTATTCAACCATTCATGAGAAAAAGAATATTTTTGGCTATATAACTCAAAAATTTTTTCATAACCTTTTTAGTGAACGCAATATTCTAATAATTTGTCATGAAAATTTGAATATCTCATTTAATTTTTAGCCGACTTTGTAAAAATAAACATCAGTTTTACTCGATATTAACCATACTTTTCTCTTAAATTTTTTAACAGTTTATAGATATAAACATAGACCCATCATTCGAAAGGTCTAAACTCGGTTGAGAAGCAACTCATTTAACTCATTAACAAGTATATAAGGGCTCAAAATTTTGTGTAGCTATCACAAAATGGCATCGGGGGAAAGTTATTCAACCATTCATGAGAAAAAGAATATTTTTGGCTATACAAGTCAAACATTTTTGCTTAACCTTTTTTTTAATTCAGCTTTCACCGATTTCTCCTTGTAGTGAAAGCAATATTCTGAAATAATTTGTCATGAAAATTTGAATATTTCATTTAATTTTTAGCCGACTTTGTAAAAATAAACATCAGTTTTACTCGATATTAAACATACTCTTCTCTTAAATTTTTTAAAACTTTGTAGATATAAACATAGATAGATTTTTGTGGTTTGCGAAAACTTTCAGTCGCCTTCTCAGTTAAAACAACCCGTGCGTCATCCACATCACCACAGTATATCTGCGGCGAAGGTACACTAACAACCCCAACTCCTCATCGTACATTCATATAGAGCATTTAAATAATGTAAGTATATAAACAAATAAATTTTCCGGCAAGGAATGAAACCGATTCAAAATAACGTTCCGGTTTGGGTTTCGGTTTTGCCAAGTGTTTCGGTTTCGGTTTTGGTTTCGTTCTTCAAAATGTATTTCGGTTTTGGTTTCGGTTTCGTTCCGGTTTCGGTTTTTCACAGAAATTTTGTTGATATTATTTAAATCACAATGGCCCGTAGTCATAGTCAAAATAAAGTCGACTTTAAAGTTAGTTGCAGCTTTTTGACATAATTTTCAATGGGATATCTGGCAAAAAAGCTGCAACTAACTTTAAAGTCGACTTTATTTTGACTATGACTACGGGCCAATGTCTTAAACGTTGAGGAAAGAAAATCGAAAATTACAGTTCACTGATAATATCAACACTAGGTTCTTTCCCTAACAATCCGGACCGGATTTGGTAATTAGAAAATAAGAGAAACATTTTCTTTCAAAAATGGAACAAAGTTCAGAAGTACGGAAACGCAAAAACCCACATTTCGTGCCCACAAGTCGAGAAACAGATGATTCACGTTGTTCTTGTTTTTGTCACTTATACCATATTCTGACCGACATGGGAACATGTTTTCGTTGCTAAAACTGGTTTTCGACCAGTTTTCGTCCATATAAAATCTGTTAAACGAAAACCAGTTTTCGCTGAAAACTACTTGAAAACTCACTTTCCACTCATTCCAATCGGTGTCTTCACTAGTTTTTTCGATTATTTATCGAAGTGGAAGTCATATTTTATCATCTTTAATACGCCATTTCGGATTTATTGTTAATTGCCTGGCCAAAGCAAAATAAGAATGAAAGTTAAAGGTTGTAAATGAAAAGAAAATGAAGGAAAAATGTTTTGGTTGTCGGTCAGAACATGGTATTAAATGCAAACACTTGGAAATTGAATTTTGGTTTCAGAAATTTGATTTTTAGTACATAGATTGAAAATAGATCAACAGGCCATTCACTTTTCCTTAAAAGCACCAAGTAAATGCAGGCAACATGTGCTGATATGCACTTTGACACTTTATCCATTTTTACTCGGAGAAAATTTCGGGCTGTTTCGGGCAGGAAGAAGAATACACTTACGATCGAATACGCTCGAATTTTCGCTCTCTATTACCCATTTTGTTGAGTACAGGCATGATTTCTGGGCTATTTTGGGCACACGCGGGATCTCGCATTGCGTACGGGAAAGAAACTACTTAAATATAATTAAACGAGTATCGATTCACAACAACAAAGTCATCAGCAGATTTTTGCGAAAAGTTACCTTGCCATACTTATTTACTACTTAACAAGAATTTTAGCAAAATGTTGCTGATTTTGGTTAAATAAATCATTTATTTCAAATAAAGTTGTATTTATTATTTTTGTAAATTTCTGGAAACCGATTGAAACCTGTGATTGAAATGGTTTCGGTATCGTTCCTTTTCAGGTCAAGATAACGGTTACGGTTTCGGTTTCGGTTTGGGTTTCGGTTTCATTCCTTGTTTTCCGGCGTAATGACGTGGGGGCAGGAGGGGAAGCGAGCCTGTTGGCGCTCAACCGCGGCGTTCCGCGTTTGCCCGCCACCACTGAAAAACCTGAGACGCTGAGAACAAATATGAGCATCGCATTGAAGGCTAAAAAAACAGTAACAATTTACCTTTAATTTACAATAATTCG